TTTTTTTTTAATCTGTAAATAATAATATACATTGATGAACAAAACTATATATATGTTGGAATAATAAAATAAAATCAATATTCTAATTATTTTATGCATTTAGTTGGGGACAAATTGGGAAAATTATGAGGAGAAGATAAGTGAAAAATTTCAATCTCCAACAAATACTCAGGGGCAGTTATGACCTATGGAAGCCATAGCAAACTCCAACTAGTCATCCTACATTAGCTCATCCCACCCTACAACTTCACTATAGTTTCTCTCTCTCTACATATATGCTTTCTATCCCACCAACCTAATCGTTAGTCGAGTCGATCTATCGTGCATTTCATTATGATTTGAAAGATACTAATTCAATTAAAAAATTAGTTATAATATGAGAAATGTAAAAATAGTATTTGATGCTAATTGTGTATATTCTTATTTTAATATTACATGATGATATCATTATGCTATTATAAATTATGTAGTTATTTTTTTTTTAATAAAATACATCTTAATTAAAAGTAGTACTAAATAGAATAAATAGTAGCAATCACATAATTAAAAAAGTCATACCGATAACTTTTGGTTCTCATCTAAACCACATCATATTATGAAATATCATAATTTTTTTAATATGATATTAAAATAATATAGTATTCATATATGTTGAAAAATAATAAATAATTTCAAGTACACAAGAGTAGAATTACAAAATAAACACATACTTGTACGAGGCGGCTTAATTATTAGTCAGATCAATACATCATACTATATTAGAAAAATATATATGTATATTATCAAATGTCATACTTTTGTTTTGATTATTTTTTCATAGTATGACATTATAATTTAAAAAATATATACATAAATAAAAAAGAAATTCTATCAATAGCTACTCCATAATAAAAAAAGGGAGATGATACAGTCTCGCTACGGAACCATTACGTCGGGATTTGTAACCGTAGATCATATGTGATCGTTGGAGATAGTTAAGCTACCCATTACAAATAAAAAGGGCTGAAAGAAAAAATCAGCAAAAGGCCAAACCTAAAGGCCACCTGTTGGTTCTTTCCATAAACCACCAAGAAAAACCACTGCCACTTGTGATCAAGAATTTGTTGCAGAAAACAGAGGAAAAAAACAAAAGAAAAGGGAAAAAGAAAACTTCAAAAAAATTGTATCTTTATCATCATAAACACACACACACAAAGGCTTCTTGTCTCTTCTCATCACCATCAATCTCTCCCTTCTCTACCTTTTTTTTTTTTTTTTTTTTTTGTGCACAAAATGGGTTTCTACATTGAGAGAATCTAGCTAAGATTATATAGGGATAGCCCAAAATTTTAGTCAGAAGAAAAACCCTTTCTTCACTGATCTCTATACTTCCAATAGAGAGATAAAAAAAAAAAAAAGATTGCATTTTTATGATATTCGAGGGTAGAACATAGAAGAAAAGATTCGAGCTTTATTTTTATTTTTACCGTAATTTAATCTGGATTGTTTTGTCAAATAGTCTTTTGCTCGTCTACCCGTGTTTGTAAAGTGGGTGCTTTTTGTTTGATCCAATAATGGCTGCTGGTGCTGAGGTTTCTATTGAGAGCCCAGTTGTTGCTAAGACCATTACTGATGAGAAAATTGATAGTTTAGATTCTGTCGAGTCGAGGGAAAATGATGTGACTGATAATGGTCTTAAGTGTTCTGATTCGAACCCGAAAACCGGTATGCAAATGAAAGGAATTGTTGATATGCTGCAGAAGCTCAAGTTGAACCCCATGGCCAAGGAGTTTTTCCCATCCTCCTACCATCAGGGCCAAATGGGGGCTCAAAATTTTGTGCCTAGTGAATTTTTTTTAGGAAATGATGGTTTTTCGAACAATCGAAAGGTATAAATCGTGTGTTTTTCTTTTCGAGTTGGTTGATTGGTCTGTTTGATTTATTGTTTGGGGTTTAACTTATGTTGTGGAGCTTGAAGATTATGAGATTCATTCTTTTTCTGAGTTTGCTTGCTTGATTATGAATCGAATCGCTCGGTTTTTAGTGTTGGATTAAATTGGTGCTTGATGTTTTTGAGAAAGGATGGGGAGTATTTTACATCTGTTCCTTGGTGGAATGAATGTTGGAATGAAGTTTTATGCCCCTTATAGCGGATAAATTGAGGCGTGCGTGCAATTTTATAGTTCTTTTTGTTAAGTTTTTATTAAGGTTTTTTGCGTATTGTCTTCTCTCTTTACGTTTGGATTCGTAATGGTAATAATATACATTTGTTTGTTGATGGATTACGAGAATTTGAATTATTGTTTGTCGTTTGTGCTTGAGGAAAAATCCTTTTTTGGAGATGAAAAATGTCATCTATTGTATTGTTTTATTTATATAAATGCACTTACATAAGGGTTTACTAATTCATTTTTCTGATGTTGTATATAAATGCTCTTACGTGTGTGAATCTCAATGTTGATCTATGTAAGAACCACAGATTATGAAAATTTCTGTATATTTGGGTATCTTAATTGGTAATCCGATTTATTAGTTGATGCTCGTCACATAATATGACTTCAAATATTGTTTTAAAAGCTTGTTAATGCAGTTCTAAACCGTTCTTTTAACTTTTTTCCACAGAGAAGGAACAACTATAACCAGGTTAAGAATAGATTGGGTGGCAGAGCTTCTAGAGCTCAGAGAGAAGATAGTATTAGACGAACTGTCTATGTTTCGGACATTGATCACAATGTACGTGAACTATGTGAATATTTGGTCATATCATCATATTCATGAATTTGAATTCATATTTTCTTTCTTTTATCTGTTAAAACTAGATCACCGAGGAGCAGCTAGCTGCATTATTCAGTGGCTATGGACTGGTAAGTTATTGTACCATCTCCTTCATGAATATATGGTGCAATGTCTATAACTTAGAGTCTTCAAGTCTTTCGGTTCATATAACATAAAATGAATTTGTGGTATCTATAATATGAAGAATGACTTGAAGTTTTCTTTTCCAATATTGATATCCCTCAAGATGTGTTGCTCTAATTAACCATAAATGTTACTCCTTGTGAACTTACAATGTACTTCCGTTGGAATATTTTAGGAGACACTTATATAATATTGCCTTGAAATATCTCGTTTTTTATTTATTGTCTATTTGCCTTTTTAAGGTTGTTGACTGTAGAGTTTGTGGGGATCCACACTCTCATCTTCGCTTTGCATTTGTGGAATTTGCCGATGACTGTACGCCTTTTTTTTTGTTTTTTAGTTTTTTTTTAATCTTCTTGTCCTTTTATTTCTTAGGTTGGCATTAATTTGCTTCATATCATATCTTATGTGATATTATGCCAACAGATTCTGCTAGAGCTGCCCTTAATCTTAACGGGACACTTTTGGGTTTCTCCCCCGTGAAAGTTTTGCCTTCGAAAACTGCTATTTTGCCTGTGAACCCGACTTTTCTTCCCAGGGTAAGAAGAAATCATTTAAAGTTATTAAATGTTTTCGTTTCTTTCTTTTTTTTTTTTCCCTATCATTTTTCAGCTCTTAATCCCTCAACAAAGTAACATTTTTGCACATGCCTTGCTTTTCACATGCTTATATATGTGGACTGATTTAATTCTGTATCTTTAACTCCAAAATTTGGGATATTACAGTCAGAGGATGAACGCGAAATGTGCGCCAGGACAGTTTACTGCACAAACATTGATAAGAAGGTATAAATAGAATCTTCTTTTCATTCATTCATTCATTCATTCATTCATTCTTTTTCTTTCTTTTTTTCTTTTTCGGATGACACGTGTAGCTACTTGCATTTAGTATTCATTACTGAGATTTAGCCTAATATCCAAGGTTCTGAGAATGAGCGGTAAGTTTTAATTAATGTTTTAATTACCAAGTTTTTTAATTAATGTTTCACAGGTCGGAAAATGGTTGAAGGTGGTAAGTAATTTAAATGTAAGTTTTTATCTAATATTTAAAAGTAATGAAACGATATAAAAATCGATGAAGTTTGATTTAACAAATTGTCAAGTAATTAAAAGACTAGAGGACTTGTGTTATAAGACTAAAAGGCTAATATTACACGAATATATTTCTGCATGAATATTTAAGTATGCATTTTTGTGTTAAATATACTTTACGTATGCTAAAGTCAAATATAAATACTAAAAGATAGCTACCATCTTCTGTAATTAGACTAAAACTCAGGGGTGGTTCTGCTATGCTTTGATCTATACGAACGAAAAAAAAAAAATGTTTGACATTAAAGTTGATTACCATGACAACAAGTTCACATGATATTTCTGAGCAGGTCACTCAAGCTGATGTCAAGAGTTTCTTCGAAACAAGATGTGGAGAGGTATTTCTTAAAGTCCCGTAATAGGTTTTGAATCTATTTTGCAGATTATCGACTATTCGGATTTCTATTGTACAATGATGGAGTGAATTTTTCTTCATTGTGTAGGTCTCACGCTTGCGGCTCCTTGGGGATCAAGTGCACTTCACAAGGATTGCTTTCGTAGAATTTTTCATGGTATGTTGCTCTCTCTCTCTCTCTCTCTCTCTCTCTCTGGCCGCTCGATCATGCTATTGATATTTCCCAAAAAGAAAAAAGAAAAGAAAGAAAAGTTGTGTATGAAAATTAACGTAATTTTCAAAGATAGTGTTGTATAGCTTTGTTTCAATGAATACTGTAAAAGGGAGGGAAATTACAGATAACATATCGTTCTTTTGTTCGGCATCTCTTTGCTCTTGTAAGACACAGAACGTATATCGGGCTCTATTGTAATTTTCAAAGATGAGAAATTTGTTTTCGTAGCTAGATGAAATCTCATTGTATATATATATATATATATTTTTTTTAAAAAAAAAAATTTGCACAAACAATGGCCTTTGATTCTATGATGATTTAGACTATGTTTTGATAAGCTAGCTGATAGTTGAGCTTATATAGCTTATTAGTGATTTTCGATCTTATACCTGAAAAGCTAACTTAAGCTACTACCTTTTATTATAAAATGATAAGCTAGCTGAAATAAAAATTTCAACGAGCTTATTCGAAAAACTAGAATAAGCTACCCAAAGAAGCTTATGAGATAAGTTCGAACTTTTTAAAGAAGTTTGTGTGGTAGATTTATTTGAATAAGCTATAAGTTAGCTTATTTGGTTACCAAACAAAACTAAGCCTCAAGATAACTAGGAAAAAAAATAAAAATTGTAAGACTCCATACATCCATATGTGGTCCAAAACCAATTATCAGATATTCAGATCGCCTGTTCTTATTTTCTTCAATACTGACGACAAGCCGATTGAATACAAATTTTACTTTCGTTTATTACATAAAAAAAGCTTCGAGTTTCAGTTTCTTGAAAAATATTTTCTCAGGCTGAGAGTGCAATAGTGGCCCTCGATTGTTGTGGTGAAGTTCTCGGGTCCCAACGCATCAGGTACTGTTCAACCGAGCTATCAAAGCTTTTTTTTTTCTTTTATCTATCATTATTATTATTATTATTATTATTATTTATCTTTTTTGTCTTCTAACATTTTTCGACAACTATTTTTCTCAACAGGGTAAGTCCTTCGAAAACGCCCGTGAGGCCACGTAGTCCCCGCCCGGGAATGCAGTAAAATCTGGCGATTAACTGGAAAATTCATCATCTGGGATGAAATTCAGTTTACATTGCTGAAAGAGATGAGTTTCCAACGAGCTCGTGTTTACTTATTTTCTGCTTCGGTTTTCTTTTTTTTTTACTTGGGAACAGTAACT